TTTCATTATTTATAATTTATTTGTCATAAAAGACAAAAATTCAGTGCCAAAAACATCCAAATTTTGAAGCAAAACAAATAAATTAAGAAAAATCTTTAAATTTGTGGAGGAAACAGAGTCGAATACTTTTCAAATAGAATCATCACGAGAGAGAATGCAGAAAACTAAAGAGACGGAAAGGTCCGACCATCAACATGACAACCACTCCAAAATTATAACCATAAGGCGCTCCGACACACAAAATTCCGCACAAGATCCAATCGAGGAAAAAAAGATCAAATCTAGGCGGGAAAAAACCCAAACCGGCCTAAAGTAGAGATCTAATCGGAAAAAAACAACCAATATGTCCAGGTGAACCAAAAATGAAACAAACATGAGTAGATTTAACCGGAAAAAAATAAAAATAACGTAAAATATACCCACAAGACACATTTATTTAAACTCGTCGAGTTCGACGTTTAGTGTTACTGCAGAAGACAAGCTTGCAACTCCCCACTCCATAGAAGGGAGCAGGAAGTGCAGAAGGTAGAAGACGAAGGCTAGTGTAGAGAGAGAAAGGTAGAGAGAGGTGAGAGCGTTTTCTGGCGGTGGATAAGAACTCAGTCAATTCATGCAGTGAGATTGTGAGAGCTACATCATTATCATCCACACACATTTTGTGGCGCTCTCTCATTCATTAATAAAGCGCCAAAACCATACAAAAATCAACCTTCTTTAATGGTGTGAGAGTGTCTCGGAAAAAAAAACAAAAAACAAAAATTGGTGTGGGAGTGACATGTTACTCAAGTATTTAAATATAATATACGGAGTATATATATATATATATATTGTGTACTCGAAGCTATATTATCATAGTTGTCGTCTTCTTTTCAAGTTTTAGTCAAAAAGGGTGGCATTGATGTCACTTGCCTGTTTTTTTTATTCTACAGTATAATTTTTCTTCCGCGTCATGTCGTTGTTATATGATCAACTTGTCGAATTCACTCTCCAATACACACACGTCTCACACGGAGTAATAAAAAAAAATGAATAAAGTCACTTTCAAGATTCAAGCCACTTTCAACCCGGTCAACAAAGTATCAAACTTGCGCGTTTGTATGCACAGATGACTTGCTAAATTTTGGAAGGGTATAATAGTGATAATTATGAAACGGTATTTAAATATTTAGAAATGAAATAAATTAAATTGATATTTTTTTTTCAAAAATAAACTCTTACTATTTTTATAGTTAATTTTTTCAAAAATAAATGGTTACTATTTTTGTTTCATTCGCATAGAAAATTAGAATGTCTTTAACCATTAATTCATTCAAAATAATCTGCATACTAATAATTAAAAAGTCTCAAAAAGTAAATCGTAAATTCAAACGTTCTATATTTGACTCTCACCAAATACAAAACAACCGAGCTTAAATGGTATATATAAAAAAATTTATGTTTAAATAATATATATAATCTGTAACTGATTGATAATAATAATAATAATAATAATAATAAAAACTAATCCAAAAGTGAATAGCCAGGGCACAAGGCTGTTTTATCAGTTATATCAATTTGGATCATATATATAATTGTAAATAAGTCACATTGTTGGCATACTCATAATTACATCAATTTTGACTATATATATTTAAACTAGGAATTCAACCGGAGGCTTGAAATGGGACCCTCCTGATCTCCAACTCATCCATGAAGAAAAATGACTTTCTAGAACCTGTCCCCATTATGGCAAAACAAATTTTTTTAGAAACCATCTAACTGTAATTAAATACTTTACAATATCAATCACAAATTTTCTTGACCTTTTACTTATAAATTTAAAATTAAAGAATACAAAATTCAAATAATATATACTTTGGTATTATTTTTATTATTATTATCAATTTTTTTCGACAATTATGATATCAGACTTGTTAAAATGCTCTATAATTATGGTATCACTATGCAAGAAAATCTGTTGCAATAGATGGAGCAATGCAGCTTTTCCTTTTCAATGTAATACAAAGTAAATTTGCTTTCTTCTTCTTAAGATTCCGCAGGCCAAATAAAATTCTATTGGGACTATGATTTGAAAGTGATTGAAAAAGATGTATTGGAAATATGGGGAAAAAAATATATTGTGCTTGACAATATGCATTCGTTACTTGGCTAGATTATTTTCTCAGTTTCTACATAGAGTTTGTCAAGGCATTGTGAGTAAGTATGAATGTCCTTGATAGACTGGATAAAGGAAATGAATAATCCTGAAAATATTACTTTATGATATATATATATGAAATAAGTGCAAAAAATACTTTTAAAGCATACTTTATATAGTACTTTTATTTCTATTTGAAAAAGTCTATCTGACATAAATTAGTACGGTAATACTTATTTTGCCCTTTTACTCTTCCGAAAATGTCCAAAGGGGTATATATGCTACTAATCTCATAATATAGGATCGTTATGTGCAAATTATCTTTTTTTTTTTTTTTTTTTTTTTGAAACTTTTTTCTCTATATATATATCTCTAAACATTTTTTTTTTTAAATTTGATAATTTGTAAAACAAAAATTTGAATTTTTTTAGATTTCAGTTTACTCTTTTCTACAATTTTTTTTTCTTTATTTTATTTTTTTCGTGCCAACACTATTAAACAAAAAATATATATATTTTATAGTAACGTGCATATAACGTCCCTATACTATAAGATTAATAACATAGATACCCCTTGAACATATAAAATTTAAAATTTGTATATTAGGATTCAAATGTTATACCGACATACCAGTGGTTTAGTAGTATCAAGCCTTTACTTTTCAAAGAGAGGTTAGGATTCGAGTCTTAGTGGAGGCATGTGTGTGTGTACTAATTAGAAAAATAAAAAAATTTCAAATATAATGAAAGTAAGTTTTACTATGAATTTCCTATTAGTAAAATTTCTAATAGTAAAACTTACTTTCATAACATTTAATTTCAAAATTTACTAATATTATAGTAAAATTTTACAAATTTTAAGGATGAAATTTTAGAATTGAATTATGACAGGTGATCGAAGAGTAAAGGGATGTTGTAGTTTATTTATTTATTTTTATATTTTCACATACATATCTTCACCAAGATTTTAATTTTTAACTTGTTTTTAAATTATAAAGATTTAATACCGATAGATCATTCGCGGAATCCTAATTGAATGTGTTGAATTATGGTGGCGCATTTATTTTATGTGACGTGGCAATTTGTACACTATAGAATTTTCAAGGCAGAGAGTACTTCGTAGAAGTGAACCTAACCCGGGAAATATTACATGGTTGGTCCGAGACAACGATGCTGGGTGGTCCTACGTTAGTACACTCAGTACATCATTTATTTGGCATATTCTTCTTCATTAAAGAGAAATGTCAATTGGGTGGTCTGAAATGTTAGATGTAATTGGAATAATGCACAAAATATCTTAGGCTTCAACCTAACAGGCAATTAATGGACGGCTGTGAGCATATATATATACACACACATATGGTCAGGGGAATTTAAAGAAGCTTCCAGATCCTTACTAATTATTGAGAGAATTTATATTTTCTGTGATAAAATCTTTTGAGAATCAATATAGAGTTATTCATATATAGTATATTTGATTGAGAGAATCAAAGTAAGAAATTCGATTGATGAAATTTATCGGTAATGTTGATTAAAAATAAATTGATTTGACAAATTTTACACTTCAATATATATCCAAACTTAACACACGTGATATCTGAGTCTAATTAATATAAAAATATTTATTTAATTTTATGATCCATTGACGCACTACCTTTGTTCGAAGGGGAATTATAAACTTCAACATCCTCAATAAGAAATTGCGTATAAAAATATATATTTTTTTTCTTAATTCATCACCTGTTTTTCCCTCAAATTTTCTTTGTAATCAAACAGAAAAGCAGTCCAAAGATGTATGTATAGCTTTGCAGTACAATAATTGTTGTGACATGCAATTTTTGTGGTACGAATTTTCTCGAACATTCAAGTACTTGATCCCCACTTGAAAAGATCCATCAATGATTTAATATGTTCACCAAATTTTCACGTGGAAAGACATTAAATTAATCAATACAGCTAAAGAAACTGCAGATATTTATTCAATTGTGTTTGAACAATTCTTAAAGCTATTTAATTTTCTTATTCAAATATTGACGTGAAGTTATTCCAATTCCAAGTGAATGCAGTCAAAAGTAGTTACAGAATGAAAATATTTATTGCCACGTATATGTAAACCAAAATTAATTTAAAGGATTAATGTACTTCAGTTCCAAACGCTACATGACAAGGAACATTAAAATTTAAAGTATATTCGAGATTTGTGAAATAGAAAAAGACAAAAAAAAGGAACATTAAAATTTTAAGAATGTGAAAGAAACAAATAGTAGGCTTAATAAATTTGATTTCTTGGTCATTTCTTTTGAATTGTGAATAATCGGTCTTAGATTTTTATTTTTTATTTTGGTAAACGTCGGCGGTGTCAACAAATATTGCCCATACCAGTCATATCATACGTAATTATTTCGTCTTAGATGGACAAACAATTATTGAAAAGAAATTTTTGTACTTAAGAAAACTAAAACCCCATGCCTCCAAGATGTGAGAGGAGTTTTGCTATAGATTATTTATCGGATGAAGTTAAATTATATCAAATAACTTGAAAAAAATCAAATTTATATGCAATATAGAAACCATAAAATTACCAACTTATCCTTGTTACACGTTTTAGTGATAATTCAGTTTTTTCCTTTTCGAATATATATATAATTCAGTTAAGTATTGTCCTTTTACACAAACAATTAATCTAAACACGGTATTATGTTCAAAATTCAAAATAAATACTATAAAAACTTATCAAAAATAAATAAATACTCCGTGCATAATTTAAATCACTATCATAGTAACAACTTGGAATAATATATTTCCGTATTAGTCACCGGCTATTCCCGGTAAAGAACGCCTATAAATTGTAAGACCACACGTTCTCTGTTCCATCTTCTTCTTCTCTCTCGACACAAGGCGTTGCCAGCTAAAATCAAGCGATTACCAGCTTTACACTTCTTAAACACTACAAACTCGCTCAATCAGTTGGATCAATTCACCCTTCCCTTTCTCTCTCTAGAACTCTCTCTTTCTCTCTCCAAATTTGAACAAACTCGCCCACGCAGTTAGATCAATCTCTGTTCTTCTTTCTCTATCTAGAACTCTCTCTCTTTATCTCTCCAAGTTTGAGCTAATTTTGTATGGCAGTGAGCTTTCTGGCTAGGGAGGTGTCCGACCTGTGCCTTGGAAAGCCGGCGCTGAGGTCGCTTCCGGTCTCCGCCACCGTCGCCGACGCCTTATCGGCGCTGAAGAGGTTCGGAGAGAACTGGATTAGTGTGTGGAGATGTGAGCATTCGTCCCGGACGAAGACCGATTCCGACGCCGATTGTGGATGCGTCGGCAAGCTTTGTCTGGTTGACATCATTTGCTTTCTATGCAGAGAAGAGAATCTATCTCGTCCTTCGGTTGCGCTTCAATCTCCTGTTTCTGATCTTCTGCCTAAGCTCCCTGGACTCGTGAGGCATTTGGAACCCCAATCTAGGTCAGTAGTTTTATAAATCATAAAGTTTCCCTCTTTTGATGGTTTTATGAGTGTGATTTGTTATATTGATCTTCAATCTGATTACTTTTCATGATTTTTCCGATTGTATTTGTGTAATTGAATACGGTAATTTCGTGATATTAATTTTCGATTTGAGTGATTTTATGTATTTTCGCCTGTATTCGATCAATGATAAAAAAATTTATTTTCATTTTGTGCGGTAAATATTGATTTTGCTCTTCTGATACATGTTTCTTGATTGTTTTCAATTATGTGTTTTCGATTGTATTCCATCAACGAGTTCTTGATCAATTTTAATTTTTTTTTTTGGTATGAAAATGTCTCGAAGTTGATAGCGTTGCTTTTTCTTTTTCTTTTTCTTTTATTCTCGGTAGTAATGATTTTGCTTTTCTTTTTCTTTTTCTTTTATTCTCGGTAGTAATGATTTTGCTTTTTGATATATGATTCTTGACTGTTTTAAAGGATTTGAGATAATAAATTACACAATATTTAACTTATAAAAAACACACACAATATTTAGCATAATTTAATTTACTTATGCTCATTTCCATGAATGAAATAAAAAAGAAATTATAAAGGGTAGAAAATATACATAATTTAGTCGCTGTGGATGCACAACATCACTCATAAAGTACCATGTTTTATTTGGAGAAGTTGAACCAAGTACATCTTTTACAAATCATTGTCAGAGGAGGAATCCAGAATTAAGACTTCAAAAGGAGAATCTTGAATAAAATAAGAATCAAGATCACAAATGGCATCTTTCTTTTTACACTAGTCAATACTTTCAATCTTTGTTCAATTCAAATTAGTATGAGCTATATCTTTAATACCATCATAACTAGAATTTTCTCCAATATAAGCTTCATAAACATATGGTTTTTACATAAATTTATTCTCATTTCATTTAATTTCTCTCAGCTTGTTGGAGGCCATAGATTACATCCTTGAAGGCACCCAAAACTTAATTGTGCCAATAGAGAGCTACACAAGCTTCAATTCAAGGAAGAAGATCCTCAACAAACCATCACTATTCAGCTCCACACTTCACAACGGGCGTGAATTCTGTTGGTTAACGCAAGAAGATGTGATCCGTTTCATCTTCAACTCCATCGGCATCTTCTCTCCAATCCCAACCATCACTATCGAATCACTGAACATCATCGACACCAACGTCATGGCCATCTACTACCACGACCCTGCCTCCTCAGCATTGCCCTACATTTCTCGCTCACTCACAGAACAAACATCTGTCGCAGTCATTGACAGAGATAACAAATTGATAGGTGAAATATCACCATTCACTCTCAATGGTTGTGATGAGACAGTCTCGGCGGCTATCACGACTCTGTCGGCAGGGGACTTGATGGCATATGTTGACTGTGGTGGTCTGCCAGAGGACTTGGTTCAGTTGGTGAAGGAAAGGTTAGAAGAGAAAAAATTAGGATCCATGTTGGAATTAATGGAAGAAATTTCAGCATCTTCCAGTTCCTCTTCGGATGAGGAGTCAGGTTTGAGTAGGAGTGGTGGTTCGGGTCGATATTCTTCGGCGAGGAGTTCAGACGCCATCGTCTGCCATCCGTGGAGTTCGCTGGTGGCTGTGATGATTCAAGCACTTACACATCGTGTGAATTATGTTTGGGTTGTGGAAGAGGACTATAGCTTGGTCGGCATCGTGACGTTTGCCGGAATTTTGAAGGTCTTCCGGAGCATTGCTGGTGCTCGGACTAGTAGACCTGAAGGAGGGAATATATTCAAGCAGTAATGGAGTGCATATAGGTACTTACCTCCAAAGTTTAAGCTGAAGACCAATAAAGATACTGAAAGCAATCCGACTGTTATGAACTTTTTGACTTTGATGGAGTTCCCAAAAGTTTTGATTGTTTAAAGTTTAGAATAGTATTTGGAAATGTAATAGCTACAGAAATTTCCATTATGACGAAAGTGGAATAATGTCAGGTGGAAAGTCGAGAATTCTAAGTGGAGGTACAATTGTATCTCAATGATGTTTTAAACAAACTACAAAGCACAAAATCTGAATTTTATATATCAAATTTGAGAATTGTTCCAAGTTTTTCTATTTATTTTGAAAAGTTGGCTCAGCTATTCAGAATTTGGGCTGAATAAATGCATTAAAATGTAGCTCTACGAAGACACCTTGGATTCGTTTTGATCCTTGAATAAGTCACATTTTTTACTCAATAGATTTCCAGAATGTGTCCTGTTTTTTCTGTAGGAGACAAAATCCTGAGAAGGATAACACAAACAAGTCGCCGAAGAATTTCCTTCGTTTCCGGATCCGAGGCAAAAATGACTATAGTTTTTCCAAAGTCTACTGTATGCAATTAGACATGGGAGTAACAGTCAGGTTTTGGTTTTGCTTATAAATTTTGTCAATCGTCGGCATGAGCTTGGTCAAAAGGGTATCAAGACAATTACCAATTCTCGAATTCGACAAACATGCGGTTGTGCTGAAAAATAAGGCAGTGAGTATTCGTCAAAATCCAAAGCCTTCTCTTCCACATTCGTGTCTAGATCATGTCTCAACTTCTCACAGCCTTTTTCCAGAATCTCCACTGCCTTCTTTTTCAGCACAACCGCATGTTTGTCACCAATTACTCCCTCATCAGAGGGCAGAACTGAAGAAACAACAGACAGACATTATTAGTATTTTCAGGTATACAAAATCAACTATGATTGTATATATTTGTGTTTCTCAAATATATATAGAATATATGACAATTTGGGTTTGTACATATCGGGATTGGAAAAAGAAAAAGAAAAAAAATCGAAATATTTCAGTAGAGAACAAATGAAATTCAGATTATCACAATTTACCCCAAGAAGAGTCGGATTCTCAAATTGCAAAAAGACCCTAACCTGTAGCTTAAAGACGATGAATATCTGACCAACACATCTATGATTTTAATGGAGAACCACCGTTCGGAAGGCAAAGCCGGATATATATACACACACAGGGCTTATAGGGAACCAAGTACAAGGGGAGAGCATGTTGAGAGTGTTTGTATATTTATACAGTATATGAAAATTCTTCTATTTTTTTAAAAAAAATAAATATATGATAAAATTTCAAAATTGAATAGAAACCCTTATAAGTAATTTGGACGTACAATTGTATTTTTTTTAATAAAAATAAAAAAATGAATAGAAATTCAAAATTGAATAGATACCCTTTGGACGTACAATTCTATTTTTTTTTTATTTTTAATAAATACTAAAATTGTATTTCTTTTTTGTTTCAATAAATAATTACTCCACTGTCTCAATTATATGGAAAGATGTAAAATATATTATTTGAAAAAGAAAAATGGAGGTTTATATTGGGATAGTCCAAAAAAGAACGTGGACATATTTTTTTTGGAATAGAGGGAGTATAATAATTATATCATTTTCGATTGTATTAATTACACGTCCTATCTAATTCTTACTCTTTTTTAGTTTCAATAAATTATATATTAAATTTTAAAGCGAATTGTAAAAAATTCACTCGACTATTAGTTTGCGAAAAATCCCAATATTTTTGGCAAAAAAACTCCCCTCAACTATTTCAAGGGAGTGTTTTTAATTGTTGTCTATTTAAGTGATTGTTTGAGGAAATTTTCGGACGAAATTACTCCCATCATAGATTATTCTTCAGACAATTTATTTATTTATTTTCTTTTTTTCCGTCAAGCAAGATATGTGAAGCAACAAAGAAAAATTTAAAAAAAAAAAATTGGAAAGCCAATAAAATCATATTCAAGCTATGTATAATTAATAAAATAAAATTGAGTACAATTGCATAGGAGAGAGAAGATCCACCATGGCCTTGGAATAGAAAATAGAAAAATTTTTGTTGCTGAAGAACTTCGCACTTGATCTTTAGCATCCATTATAGAAGTTAATTATTTTAAGAAAAATAATTAATAATTTGCCATGTTTCCTAAGTTCAATTTATTTATTTTCCTTAATTGAATTAAGTTGCGGCAAGGTAAGTTGAACTAAAATTGGTAATTAAAAAATAACATAATTTCTTTTTCAAATCTGATTTTTTAAAAAAACTATTTACTTACTTCGAGAACACGAAATACTCCCAAAGTAACTTTTTGAGACGAAATTGTTGTAGTTGATGTATTTAAGTTAAAAACCTAAACATATGAAAGTTTTTGATGTGAAAGGACATCGTTGCCCTCTATTCAATTCATGAGAATCTAATTATAAATAATATTTAAGTAATTTAGTTTGAGAGAAATGCATTTATCGTCTCATCATATATTGTTTTGATTCCACCACCTACTACTCGAAAATTGTTTTGATTTCACAATTGGGTTTTTCGATTTGCTATTAGCTTTGTTTGTGTTTGAAGGAATGAGAAGGCTTGCACCTACTACTCCAAAATTGTTTTGATTTCATAATTGGGTTTTTCGATCGGCTATTAGCTTTGTGTTTGAAGGAATGAAGAAGCTTGTTTGATGCGAAAAGAAAAATAAAAAAATAAATTGTCAGAAAATAATCTGTTAAGGAGTAATTTTGTTCAATTTTTTTTCTCAAACAACCATTTAAACGGACATCAGATAAAAACACCCAATTGGGATAGTCTTCGTAACTGGGTAATAGCAAAAGGGTATTTTTTGCAATTCACCGTAAATTTTAAAAAATACATAGATAATATGGTATAGAGTTTTCTGAGAACTCTTATAAAAAATAAATACATAAGGAATTTTAACCCATATTAAAAATATAGATTTATTAATAAACTCTTCGAAATCACACTTATAGATATAGATTTATTAATAAAGTGCACCAAATTTTATTTATTTATTTTTTCCTTTTCATTGAAGTAAACACAAAATCCAACTCCCCTTGTTCCCTTTCAGGCTGATAATCTGAAATGGAAATAATTTTCAGTCTTTTCAGTTGAAAATCCTATTGGTTGGAAAAACTACAAAATGAAAAATTCATAAATCTTTGTACGCAGCGAAAATAGTTTTCCAAACTAAAAAGAGGTACATAATCAGAACACACATTTTGTGTTCCAAACATGAACCACCTCATCACGGGTGCAAATTTCACCTTTCCTTGACTGTTTAGGGACAAACACCACTCTCCTAGCTTAGCTGGTAGCAGAAATTTCTTATAAAACAATTAAAAGCTATTTAAATAGAATACAAGAGAAGTAAATCTAAGCTTGATGAAAGACTCCATCTTCTTTTCAGGTAATTCACCAGGGAAAGTCCGTAGCTTTGCTCCGTGCTACTCAGGGCGGTTAGAGTGTTAGGCGAATTAGGCCGGTCCCCTAAGGCCCTAGCCAATTGGAAAGCCCCAATTTTTTTTACTTCCTTATGTATTATGATCTTCTTAAAAAATTAATTTTTTAATTTTTATTAAATAGAGAGATTTAATAGTGGGCTTAAAAAAATTCTATCCATTCCCACCTTTATTTGAGGAATCCATTTATTTATTTATATATATTAAAACTCTTATAAAAATTTTATTTCCTTCCATTATTAGATCTTAACCAATAGAAAGATTTAATAGTGGGCCTAAAAGATTTTTATCCTTATTTCACATTTTCCTTATATATATATATATATATATATTTATATATTTCCCCATATCATTACACCCATATGTATTTAACGTGTAGTGTGAGTTGGTGGTGAAACCTTTCATATTCTTCCGAGACTCCTACTACATATTTATTTTTATCTTCTCTTTTGTTTTCTATTTTTTGTTTTTCTTATTCCTCTTCACATAGTGAGAAAATTAATTCTGTGCAAACTTTATTCTATTGAATAATTTGTTGAATTTGTTGAAGCCTTGTACCGAATTGTTCGAAATCAGAATCTATAGTTGTAAAACTTAAATTATTTTATAGTTTTATTAATTTTTGTTAAAAAATTTTATTGTTGAAAAACTTAAAAAGAAGAGAAAAATAGATAAACTAATTAAATCTGAAAAATGAGCTATAGTTTTATTAATTTTTGTTAAAAAATTTTATTGTTGAAAAACTTAGAAAGAAGAGAAAAATAGATAAACTAATTAAATCTGAAAAATGAGCTATTGATAAATTTGTTACAACTAATAATCAAAACACAACAAAAAAAAAAAAAAAAGTAAAAAAACAATAAATGAACAACTAAGTTTTCTAGAGGAATTAGAAGAGTAATTACACATTAAAACATCAACAAAAAAAAGAAAGAAGAAGAAATTGAAATAAAACTATCATATTCTATTCCCAAGGATAATGAAAAAATTTATAAAACGACATAAGAATCAGTTTCATGTTTGTGGGTAGTGTCACTACCCACGGGAACTAGATCGACCTCGTTAGAGGGTTTTATGAGAATATTACTAAGATAAAAGGTTACTTAATTTGTTTCGTCCTTGTATTACCCTTGTATTGAGTGTTACGAAAGGTGAGTTCTCATCCACATCAAGGAACACGACACCCACGTTGGACTTGGCGAATCTGGATAAACTTCATCATTGGTTTTAAAAATTTCTGAATAAACTTCGTCATTGGTTTTCAAAATTTCTTCCTTCTTAGTATTTTCGGTATCTGACATAAAAGAAGAGTGGATTAAAAAATTATAAATTTAATGTTAGAAGGGGTGTCAAGATCTTGAACAACCATTATGAATAAGTCAAACATTCAATTTCATCTCTTCAATCTCCATCGAAATAAAGAAAAAAGTATATCATAAAATCACAGTCATCCATACAATTTTTTGAATCTATATAACCCAAGTCAGTGGAATTAAATTTATAGTAAACCATTTTGTTCCATGTCTGTAAAGTTAACAATGTTTAGTTACGTTGGAATTTTTGTAAATGGTATGTAAAAATAAAGTTGAAGAATACCGTGCATATGAAAACAAAGGTCAATTTGAAAAAATATTATTTTATAAATACAATAGCATATACACATGTTCATCACATTTTCCTTTTATCAAACCAAACAATTCTAGTGCAAGTATGACAAGTTTAAGAGATATTAAACCATGAAAAAGGATAAGGAAACTTAAAATTGAACAAAAGAGGCATAACAAACTTAACTAG